CCGTTCAAACTCCGCCTTTGTTCACCTCGACGATGTACGCACGACGGCTTTCTGCAGCTGATAATATCGCGAAACGTGTGTAAACAAATGGTGGTTTGAAAATAGCACTGTTTTACTATAAAATTGTTGCGGTGCACGTAAATGACAAAGACCACGTAATTGTATTTACTCTAGAAACGTGCTATGCAGTACATATATTGTACATTATAATAATATACAAAAGTCATTTGACGTACCAAAAAAGTGGTTGTGCAATTTTAAACAACGCTTTGAATATCTACCAACAATATAGTTGTATGATTTGATAAATCAAATTTACTGAATGCTGTTCACTGACTCGTCGTTGAAAAAAAAAAAAACTATGGCATCCAGCAATAAAATTGTGAGTACAAAACGTTGAGACGAATAGTTCGTCTTGGAAAACTGAATACATTATAATATTTTACGTTAATTGACACTATATATCCATAACAAATTGCAAATGAGTGTACAATTTGGTATAACGTTATGCGTGTCCATCAAACGGTTATACTGCTATAGTATGCAAACCTATATATATATATATATTATAAATGACACATTCTGTGAATAATTTAATATAATACAAATGATGCTTAATATGAATACAACTGCAGGGGGAATAAAAAAGGCACTTATCTAGCCAAGCGTATTCATATTTGTAAAAACGATTTTAAACATTTTATGTTCACGCGTGTGTATTAAAATTAGGCATTTTGTTCGTATAAAATGCTTTTGAAAGTTTTGAAATTTGAAGGTTATCAAGATTTTTCGGATAAAAACTTAAATTAAAGTAGAAAACAATCATTTTCAATCGATTACATATCTCTGTCTAACTGGATAAATAACTAGCTAGGAATCACTAAAACTTTTGAAATTATCGGTTAAATTTGAATTACTATAAGCAACTAAAATAAATTATAATATGTTGTCTATTGAATGCTATTCATTCGTTTAACTATACATAATATCTTGTGATCACATTAAATATAATATTACATAAAAACATAATAGGTACTATATAAAACGTAAAAGTTGGTTGATTGGAAACACAAACAAATGTTTGGTTTACTGTCTTGCAAAAAGATAAAATCATTCAACCTTTTTAATACAACACTAAAAAACTCATTGTGTATAACTCACATGTTCTACATGAATTTGTTATTTTTTTATATTGTTTTGCGAGTATGTGCGCATTAATCATTATTCCATGTCTGTAACGACTAACGACTGATACAAAAATATAATCAATAAAAACTTCTATTCCCATTCTCATAAAAGTAAAACAATTTATGAGCAATTTATGCTATGGAAAATATATCTAATTAAATGTATCTAATTAATTATTAATTGCAGTCACTGGAACATACTTATTATTGTACTTTTAAAGTGAACCGCAAAATTGCAATTATTTTATTATAATTAAGTACTTACCTATTAGAGTAATAAATAATAATAATAATATATATGTTATGTAACAATTATCGTGTGTGTATAATTATTAAGTATATTGCATTGATTTCTACATAGCAGTATTACTAGACTTAATTGGTTTTATACAATACCCTTATCGGATATATTCATACACACTAATTGGCTTAAAAATAATTATAATAATTCGATTTATACAACAATCAGTAGGTATATAATTGTTAAAATTGTATTGTAAATTAAAGTGATACAAAGAAAATTGAGAAGACGCCAAAAAACATAACATCTCGTCGAACATAGACGAAGCTTTAGGCCCCAACTCAGAATATATCAACAACATGGTGTCAATTCCTTAAGAAGTACAGACCTGCCAACCGAATCTAGAAGAAAACTATATCACGTCACACCTCCATACGGAACAACCATAAAAATGCATTATTCTTAAGTATATCTGTATCTACCTAAATGGACATATTATGTAAAATAAAAAAATAAAAACTGTAACTAATGGCCTTTGTAGCCGTTGTATTTTAAGAACAATAAAAAAAAAAACAAAAAATTGAAACATTTTTAAAAATAAGTAATTTATTAATTATAATATTTTATTTACTCACTTATTTAAAAATCATTCGTTTTATTATTAAGTCCATACATGTTTTTTAATAATATTAATTAAGTGCGCAATAAATATCGTATATTTTGTAATCAGCAATCGCTCAGTCTGGTAATAATATCATAATGAATTTGAATATACATATTAAACACATACACAAACAAATACTATAATGTAAATATTCATCGTCGGGAATGTATTTAAGAACGCATAAATTATTATTTATGACAAGCATGTGGTACCATAAAAAGTCTAAGAACCCTGTGTGCGACATGCTGGCAAAGCAAATGCATATAATTCACTAACGCCGAGTGCCGATTTAAGAGTGCCGTTTGGCATGCATTCAGACGTTTTTAAAGTATAACAAGAGAATATTTTTTATTGCTGCCGACGACCCAAAAATAATTCGAAACCAAATTGTTTTCTACAGAACTATTTTCGCAGTGTTCGTTTATAATATAATATATAGTTAATTGTTATAATGATATGTCTTTGGCCAGTCAGCTCGTTCATAATTGACGTAATCTATCAGGAATTGTATTGCCTATGTCTTAGATATAGTATATATATATATATATATATATATATATACCTACGGAACATATAACCAGATGACGATTTCCTAACAAAATCGTCGTTTACAGAATTGGCTTGAATTTTTTATTTAGTTTACCGTTCAAATAAACACTATTTGGATAATAAAAAAAAAACGTCAAATCAAGTTTTGAAAAAAACTTCAACTCGACATTACGCTTTAAAAAAATATGCAGAGTAAAATATATTTTTGTAAATATTTGTTTCTATAAAAAATCATCAGCTAGGTATATTATAATTTACAATCCAAATATTTCCTATATTAGCATTCCTTTCACCGACAATTTGAATAAATCTCGTGTGTAATTTGTCACAAGTTCAATGCCATTGTACAGTGTAGGTACCTATATTTAGCGAAACAGTAAAAATTAGTGATTTCTGTCTTTCAACAAAATATGTTAGTGACAACCATTCAACTGCTTTCATTCTGTGACTATTATTAACAACCAGTGGTTGAAGAGGGGTAGGGCGCGGGGGAAATCAGTCACCCTTGACTTAGCTTAAAACGTGTCTCCTTTATTGAATTCTTTAAAAGATACGCTGGTACGCCTAGGCCTTGAATACGAATCAAAATGATTTCTCCTCGGTAACAAATTGTATCATTTAGATTTATCAGCATTTATTCTTTATTTATTTTTAGTTTGATAAAAATGATTGGCCAGTGAGTTCACCATCCGTGAGCAACACCACGCTAAATAGCATTTTATGTTCAACCGTCAAGAAAACTATTACATCAAATGTAGCCAGCAAAGCGAGAAAAACATTTTTGATAAAGACAATTTATTAATGAATAACCTATGCCTTGCCTAATGATTTGTTGTACACTTGTACGAGACAACACTGCGTGGAATTCTCAAAACAAAATAGGAATTACTGAACACTTTGCCATTTTGTGTCACATTAATCCCTGTAAACCGCTAAATGTTTCCGAGAATTTCTATTCTATAACATTTAATGATTGCATTTCATCCTCTATACTGGCTGATTTAGGATTTATACGAACAGTGTAAACATTTAAAAACAATTGCAAACTTTATGAAAAGAAACTTCCTACTTGTTACGGAAATTTATTCAGAACAAAAAGGAAACCATTTACTTGTGAACTATAAACGGATACGCCAATATATGTATATAATTTCGCAACAAAAACACGGGCCATGATTATTTTTATCACACAACAAATATATTATGTTGCGAACGCAATCAAAAGTTTTCACGATAAATATTGCGATTAAATACAAACAATCCGGAGAGGCTGATAAAGTTAAAATTAATTTTCTATAGTTACTAGCCCAGCGAAATGGCGTTTATGTATTATGTACGACCCGTGGAGCGTATAAAATCGTTAAATTTCGTTTGGTCCGATGTTTGAAAGCAATAAATACGTCGACTGCAATTGTCGAAAGGTCGCGAGTGTGTGTGCTATACAAATTGAATTTTCATTAATATTATTTTTGCTATCGTTAAAATTAATTAAAAGCTGCGGAAATAATATTATATCTTATAGGTATACGACGTGTCGCAATTTATTCGTACCCATTAATTACATCGGGGCCGCATTAAAACATAGTCACCGTCGCCACCGCCAACGATGTGGGTGCAGTAACAGCTGCAGTATGTGAAGACGAGACCACTGTATTGTAGTCTTGTAGGTGTATATGGTGTATTCATGGGGGGTGGGGGACGGATTCCCCCCAGTGGCATTTTTTATACATAGGTGTATAATATTAGTGCGGGGGCACTACCCCGCGATTAGTCTAGGAAATAACGAATATATATCACCCATCTCAATGAAAATTATTTTTCCGGAATAATTCCTGTCTACGGCCCTTTGGTATAATATGCGTTCGACGAAAATGTCAACTATGGGAAAACTCGTATAATAGAGTTTGCTCGTACGTATTTTTCGGATTGGGTGAGGGTATCTCTCAAAACAATGTATTCAAGTAATGGAGAATACAGATAATTACAGTATTGTAAAATTACTGATATAGGTGCCATATATTTTATTCCTACAGATAATATTGGGTACTATCTGTTTTTATTTACTGTAAATATCGTGTTATAACATTAGTGCGTCAAGTAGGTATTTAAATCTAATCAATTTGCGGGGCTATTAATAGAGCCATAGAGGTGACGATTCATTCGTGTAATAATTAATGTGCTCAACACCGTCGCTTAGTATTAAGCATAATATATACGTGCAAATTTACCTCAAATAATGACAACAGTGTGGTACCTATAGATAATCGTTTAGTGAAAAAAACAAACAAACCGCTTAAACTATGATTTTTTTTTTTTAATAGAGTTAAATTGTTCAAGAGTGAAGTGTAGAAACGCGTGTGTGTGTGTGTGTGTGTGTGTGTGTGTGTGTGATCACGTTTCGTAACTGCGACTCTATTCATTCATTTAAATTAATATTGTCCGTTGTTGATGATCGTCCAAGGCGAACGAGTAAAACGATATTTATGCCAATTCAGTGACGGTGTGTGTAGTGCGCCTCGCGTATATAATAATGTTGTGTAAGTTTACTAGGTAAGTATAATACTATGATTACTATATTCATAAACAGTAGACGATCGCGTGGAACCACATTCATAATTATTATCATGCACCCGTCCCGGTCCGTACAGCGTGTATTCGATCGATCTGAATACGATTCGTTGCGGGTCTTTCTTTTTTCAAAATCCACCAGAGCTGTGAAAGTCGATCGTTTGATATATTTATCGGATGCAGCGCGAGAAGATTAAATAAAGGTAGGAGCCTATCAATAATACGTCTTTTTTTATGTAACGAAAGTATTAACGTAGTCGTCCGTATAAATGAAACATCAAAGCCATGTACCTACGATGTACCGGTCAACCCCGTCAATCGGATTTCCCCGCGCAGGATTTTGTCATGTATAAAATAAGTGTCTGGTAAATTTCACCGACGTCCATCCTCGCCTTGCTTCGAACTAGACATCTCTGCGTAGCTATATACATATATTATTTACGTTTTATATATGTTTAAAGTCTTCGTTGGCTTAATCTCGATTCGCTGATCTGCCCAGGGTAACTCTTTTGCTAATGGTCTTTTATAATCGTCCTCAATGCAGCATCCAACCACCATTATTAGCAATATTCTATACGAAATGAAAAATAATAATTTCGTATTTTTCATTACGTAAACATTTAGTACAATACAAGATTGGTATCCGGTATGAAACTGAATTGTATATTAGCTTTTATAAACAAACATATTATCAAGGTTTATAAGAATCAGACTAAGAATTATTGTTCACAAAATTAAAATCGTGTAACGTAAAATGTTTACTGTTAAAAGTCCATCAAAAAAATATGAAATTGTGAAATCGGCGAAAGTATGAATGTATATTATACGTCCATGATTTGATGTTTCAAAATAACATAACCTTTAATACGTATTACAAGACTTAAACAGACATTGTCCTTTCATTACCTATTTTACTAGTCATCATCGGTCTATGCAATAATATTACTATCAATCATAATATTTTGTCCTTCTCGAACGTCACAATAGAATTCTTGCACTGAAAGTTTTAATACGGTAACTATTAATTATGTAGGTAATTGTTTTTTTAGATTGTTTTCTCCAAAATAAAAATCTTTTCGGATATGCCGGTGTAAGACACTCTTGTTTCAAATTAATTAATCTGGCTTGTGGGAATTATAAGTTTTGATTCTGAAATAAAGGTGCCTTTTCAAGTTCAAAAGCAATAGTTATTTTTAAATTACTCATCAGACCAAATTCTTACATTTTTTTTTAATGTTTTATATATTACATTATTCTGCACCGTACATTTAGACAGGGTTTTCACTTTTATTTTTTGAAGTGAAAACTTCTTTGGGCGCGTTTAGCACTTTTTGTGGGTACTGAATTGAACTGAGCGGCCACGCTCGGCTATGTAACGCTCATTCGGGTGAAGTCGGCTCGAGTCGACTAAGCATGAGAGGAACAGTCAGCAGAGCGAAGGAGAAAGATAGTGGAAGCGCTACTGCCATACTCGCTCGGCAGAATTGATTAGGATTAGGTTAGGTTAGGTTAGGATGTTGGGATGGTGTGTGTGTATGTGTGTGTGTGTCCGAAGTCCATTATTATTGATGGAAAAATGTTATAATTTTTTTAAAATTCATTAGTTTTTTTTAGATATTTAGAAAATACATTCCATTCAAAAATATTCATTTCATATTTCAGTTACCATAAACCTATAGTTTCATTTTTAGAGTATGATGATGCAGATGAAGGCCCCTCAGAGCAAAATTCAATGGAGTAATTTATACACAATTATAATTAAGTACATTGTAAAAGTTATTAATTTATCAATATATAAACCGCAAAAAAACTTGTATTTCGTATTAATAATTTCGCATTGTTGAAGTTTTTACTTCCGTCGTGTGATCTTATGCACACACATTTTTTTTTCAAAAAATAAATCTTTGGAGATATGAATTTATTTACACTTACGGTTTGACGCATGTTCTATATCCTTCGGCCTCCACACTTCCATCTGTCTTGTAAGTATTTATTGGTTTGTTATTTGGAATTTATAACTCGATGAATGAAATACAACAAACCATGAGACTCCTGTTGTAGTTCATTAATAGGCAATAATGATAAAATGCCCAGCTGAGGTTTTATTTATCATAATGTGCTAACCGAACACTGTACTTCAGTGCTTTAAAATTATATATCTTGTCAATTTTCAGATTTTATCTGATTAAAATTATACACTCCGAGGACATTACAACTTTTGAAACTTCATTATATGCTTCTCCTACGTCATGGACTTCGGAAACTATAAGATTGTTGTATGAGATATGATTGGATATATATATAGAACATAGAAGAGTTGTGGACTGGAATCGTTAGATATGGTTAATGTTTGATACTTTCACCAAGTCCTATACCAGGTACCGTAGTTTTAAGGATACGTTTGTAGATGAGTAGTTGGATTACTAATTTAATGTGTTTTGAAATGAGTACTTGAAGAGGAGGAGTCTGAGGAAGCAATCATTTAAGGGATGGGAGTTTGTTGTGAATATGTTAATACACACGTGAAATGTTTCTTAAAATCCATTTGAACATGTTATATAAAATACATCATATAAGCAACACGCCTTAAACATCATCATCTGTATTTTAATTGAACTAATACACACAACTGGCAATTCTAGTTTGAACCCTGCACGAGGTACTAAATAAAGCAAAACTAAGTTTTATATACCCATTAAGTCTGCAGTTGATTTTCATTATCGTTATGCTCATTCAATTTCGTAAATATTTAAAAACGTATTTAATGAAGATTTATATATTCTTTAATTAACAGCAAATACACAAATAATTTTAAAATACATTTTAATAAATAAATACAATGTTCATTCACATAAAAATGTAAGTCAAGTCATTAAATTTAACAACTTATGTTGTATCGACTATGCATTGATTTATTTCAACGTAAATATAACCATGTAAGTTATATGTGATTTCTAGTATTAATAATTGTCTTTTTTTACCTATTTCATAAAATTAAATTCATTGTGTAGGTCATAAAAAGTGACATTCATATAAAATGGTGAATGCGGATTGATTCTTATTATTATAGACTTACCGATACCAAATTATCTTTAAGTATTATTTGTATAAGTATTTTTGTATTCCACTACATAGAAAATTAAAATCCTAATTCAAAATAAACACGCCCATGACACATGTGACACATGTACACCTATGTTCATACTTACATTACAATAATTTTAATTCATTAAACAATAAAAGTGCAAATAAAAATTAAAAACCTTACTAATATACACTTGACTTAATACAATACATTTGTTCGTGTTTCTTGGATCAGTCAACTAAATATTTAAAGTTTGAAAATGTACTTACTGATTACTGGATTTAGTGTTTGATAATTCCAGCTTATTTCACCATAGCCTGAAAAATAAAGTAGGCCTTGTTTTTAATTGTGTGAGATGTATTGTCTATAATATTATTTGATAATTGTATATTTATATTACACTGTACACCTATTCAATTAAATTTATGAACAGATTGCTTAAGTAATACTTTTATAATAAGGTTTATTATACTATAATATTATACACTTCTCTCGTAACAGATATTGAGTAGCATCTTTTTAAATTACCGGAAATTAAGTGAAACGAGTTATTATTTTTAGGAAATTAAAATCTTTGACAGTGTGGAGAATTTGGTTAATTTGTAATTTTTCATAGATTCTTACAGGTTATGTTCAAATTTTAATGAAATAACCTGCAATCATAGGCACCGCCAGAAATTTTATCTGGGGGGTGCATCGTGCAAGTATACGCTGATTTCTAAGTAATGCTTGTATACGTAATAATAATAATTATAATAACAATAATAATAATTAGTAATAATAATAATAGTTAAATACGTAAATTCAATTGAAGATATGACGATATTTATGAAACGGTCTACTTATCATACAATTATATGTTTCCGTTAAAACGAAATAAAAATAATATTTATTATTTNATTTATTATTTATAGACAATTATGTAAAATAAGTATAATAATAAATAATAGAAATAATGAAGATAATTATGCAAAATAAAACAGTTTCTATACCATTCAATTTTTTTAATTTAATTTTTAATTTTTCTTTTTTGGAAAGCCAGGAGGTGCAAGTGCACCCCATTGCACTCCTCTTGGAGCGCCCATACCTGCAATAACAATCGAGGATTTATCTTTAAAGCAGACATTTTCCAATTATTATGACCTTATATATGATATTATAATTGTGTCTAGAAAGTTTGGAACACTTGATTTTGAAGACCCAGAAATACATATATCATTTTGCGACATTCATTTAATGTGAACACTGATTAATAGTACATGCCACGGGGCTTATTCTAAAGTACATTTGAGCATATTTTGGAAAGCTGAGACAGCTAAATGGGTGCTTAAAAATGTGTGTGTGTAGTTGATATTTTTGTTACAAATGCACCATTTCACAAATAATGTAAGTTGTATTCAAATTATTTGGCATTATCTTATAAAATGTAAAACGCTTACACTCCGTGTATATAGGTACCTAGTAAATTCACTTTAATATTAAACCTAACCATGCAAAATTGGTTCTGCTAGACACAAACCGAAATCTTTTTTTTACACAAAATCACAACCGCGTATAATATATTTTCTGAACATACACTGAACTGAAGTCGTCAACGCTCTAATATTAAAATATTAAATACCTCTGGTTATTAACTGTCATTGGACATAATAATTTACGTTACTTACCTAATATCTGCCTATATTAACAATCTCTGGAAGTAGGTTATTAGCTGATATGAAATAATTAATATTTTTAGCTTTATGTTCAATTGTAATAATTATTTTACGAAGCGAAAGTAGGTGCACTGTGCAAAATACGACCAAAATTAAATTATTCACTTATTCGTGATTAATTCATCCATAATTGTTTTTTTAAGTCGTTAAGGAGATAAAAATATCATATTTTGCCCATCATACTGATTAAGCTGTTAACGACATAAAAAATCTGAAAAAATATTTAAATTTATTATAAGTTTAATTGATGATCATTATCCCATTTCATCAAATTTCAACTCCTAACTGACCTTTCCCTTAAATTGTATTAAAAAAATAAAAAAATTGAGGATATTTAAACAGTGATTATAATATATGTATATGATGGACAAAAATTACATGCAAACATTTTAAAATAGTAAAAATTACCTACTAATCGTCGACTACAAGACTTGACTGTCACTTTGCGCAGTTGAGAAAAATTCTTAGAACAAACCTTGATTATATTATTTTATGTGATATTGTTAGTCGTATTCATTTTTATCTATTTCATTGTTGCATAGTATATAATTATGATTTCACACTATAAAAGATAATTTGGATTTTCCATTTTTTTCTCAATACATAATAATATGTTTACGTTTGGTAAATTATTTATAGAATGCAAGTATACATTTTAGAATATGTTACAAAACATGAATAAATAACAAATGAAAACCACGTTTTGTTATTCAATAATATGTAAATATTAATTAAAACCGAGAAATCTGTAATACACTTTAATTGCTCCGTGGTTGATTTAAAAGCACGATTAAGCTCCCATCAACTATTTAAAACTCTGGTAGTATTCGTAAAAATACATTATGCATTAAGTTCACTTGAGTAAAAGTAAATACAGTATACAGCTGCATATACATTATGTTAGAAGGTTCAGTTATAATATTCCATAGCGAAACAAGAGCTTTGGTGCTTTGCATAAGACATCAACTACCATGTATAATAGCTGTAATTATACCTCACGGCGTTTTATTCAAATATTATAAATATATATATATATATATATATATATGTATAATATAATAATGATGTATATAAATGTAATATAAATTTAGTCTGCGCTTTATTTGCGGGTTATTTCAAGTATATAGTCCGTAGTATATCGATTGGTTATAAATTATAACCGCTAATCAAATATAATAACAAATGTAGATTTCGAAGACAAACATTTTGTGTTCCCGCAAAATTTGATTGAATATGTGCGGGTGAAACTTCAAAACATCACCCACGACCGAAATACCGAATTATGCTTGATATTCATTGGAAAATAATGACGTGTAGTTTCATAACTTCTAGTATTTTTTAATTTTTTAATTTAAAATGTTTTCTTTAAATCCAATAGTGCCTTTGCGATCTGCCAATTGCAGCAGTTGTCTGCCGTCACTTGCCTTTAAGCAGCTAGGCGATGAAAGGGCAGCGGGACACTGTGATAACCGCTACTGCCTTGTTATTAGTCACTGCGGTCATCCGTTGCGCCGCCGGTTACGACATACTGGCGATATTTCCGTTTAGCGGAAAAAGTCACTTTCACATGTTTCGCGCTGTTTCGGAAGCCCTGACGGCTCGCGGACACCACCTCACCGTTGTCGGACACTTCCCCAAGTCCCCGAAGGAACCCTCCAGACAACATCAGTCGCAAATTGGTGACACTAATGGCGGCGGTGACGGAGGTGGGTCTTACACTGATTACAGTCTGGTCGGCTCGATGCCGGTGTACGAGAACTTCACAACCGACGAGGTGACTGGCAACGGTTACCTGAAAGAGATGCTGATCATCCTGCAGGATGGTTTGGATAACTGCGAGGCAGTTTTGTCATCGGGTCGACTCAGCCAGCTCATTCAGTCCCGGGCCAAGTTCGATCTCGTCTTGGTCGAGGTAAGTGTATGCACATAATGACATTTTATAATATATTCTATTGACTATATCCTATTGCACAGCTATACAAACTGACCATCGATCGTATAAAGTACATAATATTGACTCATCATTAATTTATTGTTATAACGCACAAGATTATTTTGAAAATTGATTTATCGGGGCCAAAAAAATACTCGTTGCCGAAGTCATCGATTCTTAAATAATATGATTAAATACTGTATTCGTTGTGGATTTGTGAGTATTAAAAACACAAAAAAAAGAGAAAAAAGTTTCTTAAATCTATGATTCAGATATTTTACGAGTAGGACGAAGTGGCGCCTTCAAGTTTCAAAACAATTCTCATAAATCATTTAATTCGTTGCATTCGAAAAACGACTTTTTCTCGGTTAATCCAAAAGTGGAATTAGCATTATTAAAAATGGATGCTATTGTTCATACGACTTTGCATAATCATTCGTTTATTAATATTTACCATCTCACCAGAAACCCGATTTCTAACCTAGTTTCTCGTGAGGTAGTGAAAACTCCAAAGAACCATGACTGTATTACATGACATTTCTTATACTTTTTTTGATGTAGGAACTAAATAAAAAATGAAATTTTAAATCAATATGTCTTAATAAGGTCTAGTTTGTCTGTTCTAAATCTTAGACGATTTGTATTACAACTTGCCATTGAACACCTACTGTGACACTATCATGGTACCTATAGTTTTGTTTGTAAACATTTATTATTAAAATTTTTTTTTTTTTTGATTTAAGCTTCGGCAACTGAGGCCATTAGCTGTAGGTTGTGTGGTACTGTAGAGTTTTGGGACTGTAGGGGGGGGAACACGTGTGTGTTTTTGTTTTGGCAGAATTTCTATTGGGCACCCGTAGGTTTCTGCCATGCCCGGTTGGGGGATGGCGGCACTTGTTCTCCGGTCACCGCGACTTGTCCAGAGAAAAATGCCGCCCGGTGGCCGAGGATCGAACCGCGATCGGCTGCGTCGCAGCGGACGCGTCAGACCACTCGGTCACCTCGTCCCCCATTATTTTATTATAATATAAACATAACTATTCTAGTAAAAGCTATTTCAATTACTTAAAATAATTGTAATCATGGTTGCAATATAAAATAAGTAGGTATGTTAAATTATAAGCACAGTTATTCATTTTCAACTTTAAAGTATAGCCAAAAATTATAATAAATATTAATTAATATATTTTACACATAATATTTTATATTGTTATTTGAAACCACATAATCTATACCTGTATAACTCAAGTTTTTTAATATTTTTTTTTTAAAGTAATTAAATGTAATTACAACTGTATAAATTATTTTAAATAAATTACGTGACACAAACTTAATATTCTAAATTTCTTAAAAACTTTTACACTTATAACATTTACAATAGTACATTTTTTATTTTTATTTTAAAATTTATACTTCATCAAATAACCAATTTTAATAGATGTTAGGTAAAAATCTTGTTTTTGTTTTATCTAGTTATTTTCTTTATGTATTTATTATTATTAATTTTCATAACACAAATAATTTTTTAACTATGTTTACCATTACCAGCTATAACATATACAAGGATGATTCTTGAAAAGTGACACCTTCTCATTTTGAGAAGTTTTAAGTTTTTGAAAATATTATCATAATTATTTTTAGTTTTTACGTATTTAATTAACAAAAAGTTTTTTTAGCTGAGTATTTTTTGGAATACTTTCAACAATACATAAAAATCAAGTTTTGAATGAGTGGTGAAATGGTGAACTATCTATTTAATGTTTTTATGAGCAGTATACCAACGTTTTTGGGGAGCCCGTGTGCCACTCTACTCCGAATATGAAATCACAAATAAATATTATGATAATTTAAAAAATTGAGCATTTGAAAATAATAACGATAAAAAATTGTAAAAATACGTTCTAGGTTATTCCTAGATAATGAATGTAGACCTTTACTTTTATCACCTTATTGTATAATATGATATACGTATGATACCTATCCTAGGAAAAACACTGTATCCAGATCCGTAGATATGTTAAATAATTTCAAAATATTATAATTATTTAGTAGGTACACCGAACATTCAAAAACAAATATAAATTAAATTATTAGAATCATTTTATATTTCTCGCATGGAATGCAAGGGTAAAAAGTGAATGTACAAAGATGTATCGGTCATAGGAAAATAATATCGTATTTAAAATATCCAAGTTGCCAATGTGGCTTTTAGTTTTTAATTCTTTTTTAATTCCAAATTCATTTTATTAAGTCATTTTATGAATACAAAATCATAATAATAAAACTGTAAACATTTTACATTACTTATTTGAAACATTTCATGCTAAACAAACGAACATCATAAAAAATACAATGTGCACAAAGAGAAAAAAATTGGCCTGTCCGCTTTATCAACATGATACAATTAAGTTTTTACAGTACATTTTTGGTATAGAAGTTTTATTTAGGTCACACACAACATTCTAGATGATTTAATGTCATGAACTCCAAGTCCACGTATTCAGTATAGGTTTCATACTTTAAACTTGATGTTTGGATAGTAAATCAGATATGTGCAGACTGCAGAGCATACATGCAATAAAATTCAATAGTATGTTTATAAGTGTAAAACCCAGGGAAGTCGTTATGCGTATAGTGTATGGTAGGTTTCAAGTGTAACTCATCATTGAGGTCATTGATACATGATAAGTCATTCCATACAGAAAACAATTATTAGTGAAAATGGTTTATCAATTTCTGTGGATATTTAACAATGTATTCATATGACAAAAATTTATTTATTTTTCTATTATTTTTTTGGTGCGTTGAGAAAATGTTGGCAAAAACATTGCATACAATGTGCAACAATTATAATAATGATATAATATTATAGTGGTTATTACTTAAAAGTCAGTAACGCGTACCAAACACTAAATAATGATATCAATAAGTTTATGGAATGAACACCTTAAAATAAATTAGCCTGGATATTTTGAAAACTGCATTGTGCATATAACATAGAAATGATTAATGTAGTAACACAAAGTATCAAGAACCAACCCATGAGTTTTTTTTGATTACAATAAAATAACTAAAATTGTTATTTTGTATTAAGTCTAGTTTAACATAATATGTATTTTCAGAACGCTTTAAGAATGGCATATTATGAGAGTGACCCTGTATCAATTTTTTAAGCTTTATGGCAGAGAAAATTGACAGTAAAATTCTAAATGTAGACAATTTTAAATTCCTATAAATGCTCTAAAAGAAACAAAATATTTTGGAAATTGGTCATGTCTAAAAATTGCTTAGGTAGATGTATGTATATCGGGTTGAGATGTCAAGTATTTACAGTTATTTATCTTCAAATAATAACAATGTAACAAAACAAATTTTGTTGAATACTTGTGTTGCATAGGTACATATTATACTCGTTTTTTATTATGTTTGTTCTTCCCGGTTATTTTCAAAAGAGCTGGCAATTTTTTACCTTTACCCCCTAGATATATCAACTACATTTAAATTTCGATCAAAAACGTCAAGGGATCAAAGTTTAAAATTGACACATTTTTACTTCAAAATGTGATGATAGACAAAAGAAACACACAACTGCATTATATAAAACCATTCATCATTCAGAATCCAAAAAAAGTAGCTTTAGCTCATATCGATTATTTGGATTATTCAATTATTTAAAGGGAATTTTTAAAAGTTCCAAACACGATACAGATATTTCCTTCGACATTGTGGGTCAATATTTTGCTGAATATTTCATAGGATATTTGAGTGTCACTGAAAATGAATATCAATTTTAAAGTCAAATAATCAGAAGATAAAAATAAAGAAATATATTATATTACATTGCTCTTTTGTTGAAAAAAAAATATAGTACCTATTATATAACATATATTAATATAATGTAATGTACAAAACTTTCCAGACACTCGCTGCTGCATAAAATTGCACTATAAAGTTATTTAAATTTAATTAATTTAATTTTCTTGTGTGTAAATGACAGTATAGGTGGAAATCAAAAGTTTAAAAATTAAATTGTGAAATATCTTTCACCCACATATTACAAAAATTAAAAGACAATTATTTTTCTTCTATACTTAAAACTTAATAACAAAATATAATATTTTGTATACAATTATTAATTACTGAAAAATATAATAAATTAGAGCTTGTTGTCTGTTAGAAAATGTTATGCATATAAATAATTTAAATAAAAATGCATAAATTCAAAAGCCCAGGAAGTATTATAAATTTTAAATTTAATCCAACTAATAGTTTCGGCCGTGACCCATCTTCAGGATGTATACATAATTATGAATAAACATAATATCATAATAAATTATAAACAAATATTAAAATATAAACACTTAAAAAAAACATTTAACAAATTTATATAAATTCAATAAATCATAATTATATTGGTGGTCATCTAACTATTTACACTAAGTACCTAGCACCTATATTAAATTAGCCGACATTTCCACCTATTAAGTTGATTAGAACTTTTACAATTATGAATACACCTGATTTTTCTTATATATTATTTCTATGACATTTTACAGTATATTTAATCGATAATTAATGTTTAAAAATTGTTATACATGCTTATCAAATTTGCTTCAACCAACAACACGTTTATATAACTTTCTCAATATTTTTTTTATTACGATTCAATTTTAAACCGACCCAACTTTGTCATGCATTCTATATTAATGGTTTGAGACTTACATTGAAAGCTCGGGTCTCGTGTGTGTATGTCTCACTGATAGCCAATGTTTTAAGCAATGAGTTAAAACAAAGTCGAATTTCGCTAATTTGAAGACTTAACGGCCCTCGCCAAAATATGCACTCGCATTGACACTGTTTATAAAACAAAAGATATAAACAACGCAAAATGTTTAAAGTTGGTGATATTAGTAAAATAAAAACGATATAACACAAATCGATAACGTCTATAATACAGCACGCATGCCAACAATTTTATT